TCCGTCATCGGATATTCCTTTATCTACGTGTAGCGTGAAATCAACGCGGCACTATCGTACACGGTTACGACGTAACGAGAATCCTGAGGAGCCGATGAGAGTCCCTGACGCGGCCGGTGCACGCAGCGATCGACGATAGCGTTAGCGGTCGGTCGCTGCCAACCAATCGATCCTAGTGCTGCCCCACTGCGACCGACTCCGCCTACGAAGTCCACTCCCATCCGTAGCTGCCGCAAACGCCACGCCGTGTTGTCCGCGACGGGCCAGGGCGAGTCGCAGCGCGAGCAGTGAACGCTCTCCCAGCGAGCCCCCAGCAAAATCAATAGACCAATGGCTACTGGAACGCGTGCGTAATTACCGCTCGTGACGGACATTGCCTCTCGCCGGTGCCGGTCTTCGTCGCCGACGTGGTGGGGGAAAGGTCGCGCACCCTCCTCTCCCTCGCCCTCCCTCCGCAACCCCCGACTCCCCTGCTGCTCCCATCCTTCGTTTCTGCACCGTTTTTCCGACCATGCAACGATCCGCACGGCAGGCTTCGAGCGCGGATACGTGCGAGCAGCAATTTAGCCGAATCATTCCTGTCGCATGATTTATCACCGCCAGGCGTGCGACGGTGATAATGGTAGGCTCGTGATAGTGCACACGATGTGGTAGTGGTACCGGCGATACTTTATACTGGCGCGGCCGCGGGGGCGACCCGAATAAGTGGCGGTGTAAAGTGCCCGCGATACATTTTCCAAGCACGATGTGTGAGTGACTTCGCGGTATTCACCGTCTCATAATCTCATTTTTTATGTGCCACCCACGGGAAACATTTCGCGCGATATACCTATGTGCGCCAATTTCATTGGCAACTGAGCTTCTTTATGCGTCTCGTGATCGATAACGTAAAGTTTTCCGCTATGGCTTGAGTATTTCCTACATCTCCATGTGAAATTTTCATAAGATTTAGACGGTACTATTGTTGCTATAAGATACAACAAAAATTAATGAGAAAATATTAAATAAAATATTGTGTTTGACGCATTATTATAAATTGCAGATTTTAAATGCATCTAAAAATACGTCCAAATGTTAAGAATAATTATACAAGAAATAAGATTGCAACCTCAAGTGCCTTATTTCGTTGAAGTATTTTTAATAAAAAAAAATTCTTTCCGTAAAGAAAAAAATCTATGAAAAATTAAATCTTTCATTTTAAACGAATAACTAAGCTCCCAGATGATTCCTTCATTCCACTCAAGTCTTGAGAACAACGAAGTTAATACATCGATGCAATAGTTAACAGTTGTTTTCGCCATATGCCTGACTCGCTATTTTTTCACACGATGCACGATCGCGTATTCAGCCGCATGAATGATAATAACAGTCACGAATGTTTTGCGACTTTGTAACAATGTAACACATATGTTCCGTTAATTCGCGGTGAGTAATCGCGCGACTTGTAATTTGTCGGGAACACGAGGGCACCGATGATTTTATATTTTTTTCTTCTTTTGTTCTTTGCTCGAACGTAATGATTAAACGATTCTGCAAATTTGTAACATATGCGAAGTAACGTTTCAAGATAAAAACACAAGAAAGGACACTAGTCCTTTGTGAATTAATGTGAATCGCTTATTTGTCAAACTGCACCGACGGCAAACTAGTTTGTCTCCAAATAGCTTCATTATCTCTGATCTGTTGACGAAACAAGAATAAATTTATTCAGCTGTCTAGATAACCAGGCTTGATAATCGGTCAATACGTCATATTCGCGCAACTTGTGATATCAAACCAACGCCTGATTCGTGTGGATATAACATGCCTTCGGAAGACAAATATTTCATAATATTTGCCGAGAAGAGAAAATGAAGACGTAATAGTTTTGATCGACTTAAATGAATTAGGATCCCATTAAGTGTCGCTGTAATTAAAATAAATCTTAATTAAGAAAATTTGTTAATTTGCTTGCATGTTATTCCGCTACAGTAAATGACGATTGACATAAATAATTAGGAAATGGTATGATGTTATTTTTATTATGATTTATTATGATTTTCATTATGAATTAAATTTTTTTTTCTACTTGTAAGTTACTAATAATGTTACTCTTTTAAATTACTCTTATCATCTGTCTTTTACCAATAATTACATATACTAACTTTGCATTCCAATATACGTTAAGCAACGTTACCTTGAAAAATAAATTTTCAAATTTCTGAAAATAAATATGTCATTGGCTATTTGCTGTCAACAAATAAAAAATTAATTTTTTATCTCTCACCTGTTCAATCTATCAAAACGGGCAATACATCACGCAATATTAATTAAAGTTTGAAAAAAAGAAAACACGAACTAATTTGTGGCACATTAAGTATTTCCCTAACATTTTCTTTCTTTACACAATAAATATTTTTAAATAAGTTTCTTGTGAGTTTTATTTCTACGTGTTTTATTCCTCATTTATTCAATATGAAATTACAACGCTCTATTTCGTACGTTAAACATCATTTAAGTTGTGGATATTACTATCAAAGAAAAATATTAAGAGAGAAGATTGAATATTATTCACACGCGTCCACTTCAGAATAATATAATGAATAAACAATAACATCAAAAAAATCAGAAATCTACAGAAATATTTGAAGTTATTAAATATATTGGCGTACTTAACAAGTGCGCACAATAAAGTGTGCAAAATATCGTCACTCTTTTAAATTACTATTATCATCTGTCTTTTATCAATAATTACATATACTAGCTTTGCGTTCCAATATACGTTAAGCAACTGTATCGTATATCTACAAATTATAGGTATACATTATAACTATGTACTATACGTCTATGCGTCTATGATCCATATTGTTTTATGTGGTATAAAGTAACTGCTTAATAAACCGATCTATCGGTATGTACATATAAGTTTGTACGCTATGCAAATAACTTATACGACAACTGCGACAATTTACATTTTATTTTCTGCATTTTCACTTCGATTCCTCGACTGGCGTAAAAAGTATATAAGAATAATCTAATCTCTACACATAAATTGATACACATCAATTACGCGTAAATTGATACACGTCAATTAAATAAAGGTTAGTGAAATTAATTAATCAAATATCTGAGAAGTCTTCAAAGTCTGAGAAAAATTTAGTTTTTAAATTTTTTGATTGAAAATTTTAGTCTGAAATAAAAATTGTATTCTATTCTACAAATATATTCTATACTATTCTATTTCTTTATTAATAGAACAATAAAGAGCGATTTCTGCCCGCCCAAATTGACCACTCTTCAAAGAGATAATTTAGTTCCAAGTACATGTACCTATGCTATGTGAGTCGCGTTATAGCCGATGATTCGCGAAATCATACTCCACTAATAACCAGTAATTTACGATAATTTCGACGGCGATGTAAGTAGACCCTCCTCTTGGATAGATAAAACCTTTCTAACACGAAGAAAAAGTGTTGTGGCGAACTATTTATCTAGCTATTCATTGTAAAATTAGTTTCTAATTTAATTTATTGCTAAATTAAGATAATCTATTCTTAGCAAATACGTTTGGCTGCAGCAAAATAATTTGCAAAATCGTCAAAAAATTACCTTTAACAAACAAAATTAGTCCTCTTAACAAACCTTTTTGCTGCTCATAATAACTGAAGACACTGATAAAATATGATCAACTTTGTTTCTGCGTGATAGAGAGATAGCGCAATATCGAGCAATCACTACGTACTCCAATTTCATTCGCGTGAAAAGGCCAAGCGAGGGGTAAGCGAGTGTAACGTATCGGGACCAACCGTATCAATTGGTTAACCACGAGCGTGCTCTCCGTCCGACATTGACGTCCGACTCTGAAATTGCATACGGCAGCCGTGGCAACGGTCGACCAGGATCGCGACGACGCCTCGCACCGGTAGCAGAGAAGAGCGGAAGGTCGCTGTTTAAAAGCGTGGGCGACGCGAGGCGAGCGAACAGATCGGTGGGCGGCCACCGGTTCGCCCAATTGGTCGATCGACTTGGTAATAGTCGGTGGGCGTAGGATAAGCTCAGATGCGCGGCGTGCTGTGCGCACTTGGTTGGCTTTACCCGGCTCTCTCTCTTACCGTGCATCCCCACGATATGCCCCCCTTCGTGATGCCCCGTTCCCCACTTTGTATCGGCTAGGTTCTCGCAAGAGTGCCCCCTCTCCCCTGCGTCTACCACCCTTTACGATCCAACCTGCTGTAATCGGCAGCTTCTGCTGCGTCTTCGAACGCAGCCGTCTTCCTCACATCCGCTTCCCTTCGTCTTCGCCATCGCCGCCGCCGCCGGGCCGCGGCGCCTTAAATCTTGATCTCATCTTCTTGGCGGGTAGAAGCGGAGTCTTTCGCAGGAAGAAGGTGGGGGTAAGGCTAGTCTGGGCGCGCTTCGAGCGGAGCGCGCAGCGGAAGGCAATCTGCTCGAATACGGCGGAGCGCGAGCAGGTTGCTTCGCGTAACGCATTCACGTCTGATCGTCCGGGTGGTTTCAAGAAAAGGGAGGTCCCCGCGTTGTCGACAAGAGAAGCGAAGACGATATGTCGCAAGGATTGCGACTATAGCAACGGCTTATAGACAGATGGAGTGAAACAAGGATATACGAGTTTTTTTTTATTTTGAATGCTGAAACGCAAGATAGTTGGAGGCGATTGATCGCGTGACGAGAATAGTGGTGCATCGTGAGGAACGGCAGAATGCTCGAAGAGATGAAAGCCGGAAGAAAGTAAGAAAAAGAGTAATCGCTCTCGCGACCCTGGAAGAAATTTACTTCACTTATACTCGATTTTACACTCGGTGATCGAAGCAGAAAATCGCGGCAACCTGTGCGCTCGAAAGGAAAAAAATTCGTGAACAGGGCTACGGGGCGAGGAAGTCGATCGCATATATGGAGCGACGAGGCAAGTCACGTCGCATTAAATCTTGATCTCACCTCGGCGAGCAGGCAGCGATCTCGAGTCGCGGGCGGGGAACGGCGGGGTAAGGCTTGAGCGCGCTTCGAGACTCCGGGCGGAAGGCAATCCGCTCGAATCCGACGGAGCGCGAGCAGGTTACCCCGGGTAGCGCGGCGGCTGGTAGTCCTCGTTGCCCTGTCATTGGAGAAGGCAGCCCTCGTAGGCGGAAGGAGCGAGAGAGCGATCGACACGCGAGAAAGAGTACGGGAAGAGAAGGTGGAGGAAGTGAAGAAGGAGGTGGAGGACGTGGTCACGAGCTTCGTCGAAAGCGCCTGCGCTCCGACACTCCGCGCCTTTCGGCTCATCGGCTTCGACTAGGCTCGAGCATCGCGACGACGTAAAAGCTCGCGTCGCGATGCGTCGTCATCGCGCGAGCAGGCAAGAAGTCATTCCGCACCGCTACTGATCGGATCCGCAAAATAGTGACTTGTGTGTTCTTTCGCGTCACGGGACGAGACTGCCGAACGTGTCGGAACGCTGTTAAGGTCTGCCGGAGGACAGTGACTGACGGTGTGTTTTTATGGTGCACATGTGACGTTTCGGTGGACATCGCTTTCGGGAACCAATGGGAACTGCAGTCGTTCGGCAAAAATCTATCGAACTTTCAGTGAACTCTTACCGCAGGAATGCAATAATAACCGAAGAGTATTCGAGTTGGACAAATTGGCAAGTAACTTTTACCATAGCGTCTAATGCAAATTGGACAATGTTCGCGCAACGATATTGCCCGATGCACGATGAGGAGCGCGAATGTTTTTAGCCGCATATTCCGAATTCGCGAATATTTGAGCTCCAAACCGCGCTCGAGGGCATTCATCGACGTTCCGATTACTCACCGATTAATTTCCGACGGAAGATCGCGAGATCGGCGCGAGATGCGTTGAAAAAATTCGTCGGATGCGAAACGGGGCGCGATCTGAGGATAAACTTGGTGCATCCGCGGAGAAGAACGGGAGAAGGGAGGAGCCGTTGCTGAGCGTGGAGGGGGCGGAGGTGAGATCGTCTGGTGATGATGATCGGTGGCGGCGTCGCGACCCCTCCTGGTACTGCCAAGTCGGCGGCTGCGATCGACGGCGAAATGGTGCAGGTCGACGGCATTGGCAGTGGTAGTGTCAGTGGCAGTGCTAGTGGTAGTGGCAGCCCTGCGACGGGCGCGACCACCACGCGGCTTGCGAACAGTAACAATAGCAATAACAATAACAACAACAACAACAACAACAACAACGGAGACGTTAGCAACAATAACAACAACAATGACGGACACGCGGTCGCGAATTGCGCCGGCACGAACGCCTCGAGCGCGAGCGACAAGTTCTGCTGTCAGGACGAGGACGTTCCCGTCAGCACTGGTGTCACTCGACCTTGGGAACCGCCCTCGCCGACCTTCTCTCAGACGAGATCGCATCTGCTGCAGGTACATCCGCCGCATCACCACCAGCATCCGGCGGCGCATCATCATCAGCAGATGAACGTGCCGGTTTCCCTAATCGACGGTAAGCACAGAGATACACACGTACTCGAGTTGAATTCAGTTCAATTGAACAATGTTCTTTGCGAACCTCTTTGTCAAGTTTTCTCTCGCACAGTGGACCCATTTAACTGATTAGCAGTCCTCAAGTAAATGATCGTTTAAAGCAGACACTGTCTGATGCGCGAGCAAATATTATTCCACAACAAAGACAATCGTGCAATAACAAAGAAGATCTTTGGGTGCATTGAACTCATCAATAATTCCTTCATGCTGAACATTTAGAGTGAATCATGATAAGATAAATTATCAACTTGCATAATTTCTCAAGCATTTCCTAATTTGTCTTATTAAATATCTGTTATACGCTATGACGTTTTAATACTTGTTAAAAACGTGATCGCGCTCCTATTTTTTATAGGAACATTTTGTACGTTTTAATGCTGATCGCGCATTATAATATTCTCTCATTCTTGAGTACTCAAGATAAGGCGAACGCATGTGTAAGCAATGGAAAGTCAATTAATTCCGTTGTGTCGCGATAAATCGATAATTACGAAATACATCACGCTTAGCGACACTATTTACAATCGTGTTCCGTGCACTTTATTATAACCAAATTGCACGGCGTTATTGAAATTTAAAACCGTTTTTTAACAGGCCTTAATCGAACACCTGAATACACTTTCGGGATTATCGAAGGTAGAGACAATAATCAAACGAAATGTCGAAATATTTTGTAAAATTTTATAAAATTGTAAAACGATAAAATAACTTTTCTGGAAACGCGCGGGTTCCGAAACCGAGCTTTCTTAATATGACATTATAAATATCGAATATTTCAAACACTGCAAAATATTAAATTAGATGGCAAAAATAGTTTTCTTATTAATTATATATTATATTAATTATAAATTACGTTATGAATGATATTATATCACTGCATAATATTCCCATATACTTTGCATTAGAAAATATTATTAAATTAAAATTTTTAAATAGCTATAATAGTATTAAAACGTCAGAAGAAATGAATAATCGTGCAATCTCCATCGGAACTAATAAACATATATTTAATCATTATATGTTCCGATAACGGATGGAAGATAAACATGCGGTACGTGCGACGACAAATGAGTATATCGATTATATCTGTCGCGATGAGAGATAACCGAGTAACTAATTAAATTATGAATCGCTTCACGATCTTTCACTGCGCGAACCTTTCGGTCGATGCAGGATGGCAACCGCAATTAACATTGAACACCTGTACAACCGAACACCTGTACAGGGCCCGCCTTGTAGCCAACAATAATTGAACCATTTCACGCCTTTAAAAACACGGAAAAAAAATCTCAGAAATGTTAGAACTTCGTAAAATGTTAATGACAACATGATATCCAAGTCGATTGCAGAAATTTCAGTAGCGAAATCAGGAGCAAACGACTTACACGCAAAATTCTTGTTTCCAAGATTCAGAATTGCCACTATATTAATCATAATGTCGACAGCGTGCACGTCAAACACTAGAGCCGTCGGATATCAATTCTCAAATGCCTATCGGTCGGGTCAACAGACTTTATACTACTTTAACCGTGTAAATACGAATCGGGAAATGAATTCTCTTCTTCAGATCGTCGGACGAGTGCAATGCGCGTTCTGTTAACAATGTTTACGGCTCGTTATCAGCAAACTAACCGTATCGCCGCCATTCTTCAGCTGCTAATTAAGTTGTCAAAAGGTGAGGAAACCGCGATTGTACTTGTTACAACAGACTCGCCGATGTCTATTTTATTTGTGAACGTAATGAAGCACAACGTTTGTCGTGGCGCGCGAATGTCAGGCGCAACGCGCGATACTCACTCCGGCTGCTTATCTCGAGACTGCACAATTCGCGAATTGCACATTCGCTGTGATAAACGAATAAAAAAAAAACAAAAAAACAACGCGCGATCGGGAGTAAGTACGCGTTTGATTCGGATATGCGTCTATCCAACTACCGCGCATTCGCGGATCTTTTTGCGGCTCACACTTGCCGGATTCGACACCTGGAGTTTGCGTCGCGAAATCGCCGATAAGACTGTACGAGGGAGCGCGCGATTGGGAGCGGCGGGTACGCGTTCACAATGCGTATTCGCAGATCTTTCCGTGATTTACACTTGCCAGATAGAGTACGGAGGCTACTAAGCCGCGCCGCACTCGTTCGGAACCGGTTTCAATGCGTTGGCAGTACCTATCTACTTCTCTTCGGACCGGCGAAGGTATTACTCTCGTTTAACGCTCAACACCCGTCCGTCCCGCGGACACTCTCGATTTCCTCGCTCGCGATGGCGCATTTGTGGAGCACTTCGTTTCAGAACCACGAGCGACTTTACGACCACACCCGGACCGTTTCGACGCACCATGTAGACAGTAGGTGTCTTCATTCGCAAGCGAAAGCGAAGAGAACGAGAGAAGAACGCCGAGAAGATATTTCGAGTGCTCTTTACAAAGTAACACTTTGTAGCACTCAGCGCAATCGTGTAAACTATCGTATGTGAGAAACGTGTATTAATTATGTACGCAATATATGTAGATAGATTCTCACGATTGAGTTAAAGCTGCATATTTCTTTGACAGTATAGCATTCATTATCGAAATTAAATCGGCAAATACACCGTTTGAAACGGATATGCATAATTGCAATAATGCCGATTATTTAAACATTGAATTTAATATTTAAATTGTTGCTCTTAAATTAATTCAATTATGTGGTGGATGTCAAAGCGAATTAATTTGGGAAAGGAAATCTGACCGTACGAATCGTTGTAAATATCTTTTTCGTTTGAATTAATCTTAATACAAACGACGGTTCAATCATGATATCATATGATTCGCGAACTAAAGAGCTTCGAATAAATCTGATAGTTGAGCAAATTGGATAGCTGGTTGCGCTTTGCGCAATCCTTTCGCGGTTTACCTAGTAGCAGAAGGCGTTAATCCAATTTAACACCCGATACGAGTTCACCCCGCTGTTCCCGATGCTGCGCTCGATACCCAGCAGCGTCAAGATGCCGCGAGGTTTTACGACCGCGCCCAGAATGTTTTAAAGCAGGTACACCTCAAGGTTAATAGCTGTCTTCGCGCGGCACTTTGTTACAATTTTGATGACCAATCGTGAAAGGTGTCCGCGACGAGACGCTTATTAATTACGCGCGGAATGTACTACTTACTGAGTGCCAGGTTACAATTTCGCCATGAAATGCGACTCTTCCTTTTTTTTCTCGCTGCCTTTTTTGCGCTCGCCTTTCGACGGCTAAATTTTATGTTCGTCGATACTTTTATGTTTACGATCATAATGATTTGCGTTTATGGTCGCTCTTAATTGCAGTGGCGCGCCAATCCGTTACCCGCAATAAGGTAGAAACAATAACTTATGTGTCTCAACGCTAAATGTGATATAAATGTTCACATAAATGGTAACATTGAATTCGGAATGATAGCGTCTAATGTAAAATGTCAATACGGACCGTGAATGCGTGATTATTAAAAAAAAAGTGTAGAATTTATGAGCAATTAGGTAAGGAAAAGTGCTATTACGATGACGCACAATGATAATGCAGTTCCACTTCCAGACTTTATGATTACACCCTAGACTACGTATGCAGCGAGTGTCAAGAAGTGGATATCTCCATCTGCAAATGAGTTCCTTCTCGGTATCTTAGGCACCACCTCATGGACATCGCTAATCACCGAGTCATTACGTAAAATACTTGCCTGCAGCTATGTATATCAATTATCGGCAACGTGTACGCAACTCACTCTTAACGCGATCTCTATAACTTGATAATGCAAACCTACCTTTTTGTCCGAACGCTGTTTTCGAGTGTAAACACAGTATCCAACTGTCCTTCAATGCTCGAACTCCACTCCACATCTGAAAAAATACCATAGCATTATGAACAAACATTCCTCCAAATTTTATTCGCTAGATTTTATTGTCGTATGATTGAAGAGATTATTATAGTAAATTATTTCTTCAAATTAGATGTAGTTAAAAGTTACGCTGACATAGATAATTTATTTCTCGGATTGTTCAACTTTATATTTATTTTTTTATGTTTATATTTATTTTTTTATTTATGCATGATCTTCATTATCCATGCATTTGTTTCTAATGTTCGTTATAAATTAAATTTTTATATATTTTATTTGTGCAAAACGACTGGTCTCTATTTAAGAGTTAGTTCGACTTGCGTGTCATCAGTTATATGTAGTGCGATACTGTTTTATTTGAAACCGTTCGATCGAGATAAAACCATTGATCGAGATCGAATGACGAACGAGCCACCGCTGAATCCACAAGGAAAGAAAGAATCAGCCTTCCAGTTTTTCCATCTATTATCTATTATGCCGTGTCAAGCGATCGGTCTTTACCGGCGGCGATTTCGAATATACGGACGAATATACCGCGGTGCCAGAACTCGTTCAGAACCGGTTCCCGCTTGGTGTCGATGCAACGACGGGACGCATTTCTTTCTGTGCATCGGCTACTTTCGTTTTCACGACACCTCCGATCGCTTTGACACGAAACGAGCGCAGAATGTGCGCGCCGGATGCGTCAGGCGTGCGGGACGGGTGCGGGTCTCGCAGAATTCACGTAAGTTTTGTTCGACTGCTGCGGACGAGATTCCTCGAGAAATAACTTCAGCAGTATTGCGATTTTGCGATAAATTCTTCGGGGGTTTTGTGAATATAACTGGAAACTCTTTTAATCCTAATTAAATCTTATCGTAAACTTCTATATAATCTGCATATTCTTTTAATCACTGATATGTAGACTATTTTGAGTGCATCGAATGTGCATTTATCAATTTCATTAGTAAATAAATATAAAAACAATTTTTTCTCAGCGAAAATATAATGATAGTGCTTTGAATTGTAATAAAGAAGGATTAAAAAAATAGCAAAACAAAATTTATGTAAAATATACTTGCTGTGAATAATATTAATGTATAATGTGTCAAAAAAACAAATAATAATTAAGTATAAAAAGCATTAAATAGATGATAATTACATATAAAAACATCACTTCAATTATCCCTCTTCAAATTACAGTGAAATGACCAAATTCTGATTTAACGTATTCCCGAGGGCGAGTCATTAGTAAATAATTAGCTATATTGACGGCGTAAATTACACAAGAACGACTATTTGGCTGCGCGGCCAACAAATTGCAAACGATCCGTATAAGATGCGTCCACCAAATCAATTGGCAATCCACTTGGCTTATAAAAGATTAATTAATTAAACGTTCTCACACTATGTAAACGGACTTGCGCGTATTCGGTCCCGATTAAAACCAGTTAAAACAGCACGATACAAATAAGCACGGCGGACCTGTTTTCTGAGCCAACATTCAGAATGTAATTTTACCCGACGCTCGTCTTTCCGAACGATCGCAGTGTAGGATGAACTGGATAAATAGTAATTATGTTCATCGTTCACAAAATGACAGCTACTTTGCGCTCTTAATACTGCCGCGTCGCTCAGTCGTAAATTATCATCTGCGCGACTCGCGCTAAACGTCGTTAGATTACTCGGCTACGCGATTATGAGGAAGCTCAGTCCGCAATAAGTACATGATAATTTTGATCGCACTGCCGGCACAGTGATTATTAACATCTATCTTGAATTTAATTCATATTATCCTCAAGCTCGCATCGATTTATGCTTAAATGTTTGTTTCGCTCCGTCGCGATTTTACTGGATGCTGTAATTATGGTTTCCTCTCCCCTAATTATTTTCCACGAGTCAATCTCCTGCTTAGCATGATAATCATAACAGGTTTGATCAAAACATTCTACTTGATTATGCCAAATTAAGTGAACAATTATCTCTGCTTTGATATTTAAGATTAAAAGTCAACGAGCAATCTCGAATAATATCATGCGTCTGATCGTAAATCACTGCTTCCCTGTTGAAGTGTCGTGAAGATTATTCAGCTATAAATCCACGAGAAAGTTTAATCATGCACGATTTCGAAAATTTACGAGGATCTTCGCACCTGGCCGATGATTCATTTAGATTCGTACAACTACAGATGCGCATATAATAAATCGAATCTTAATATTCTCGGCAAACTGGTATGCAATACGGTTGGCAAATATATTATTAGCCGATGGTATCACATTTCACGCGTCAGATGCAAAATAAGCAATTAAGTCTAATTTTTTATTAAATTTCAATTTAATTCTAGACTAATTAATTTCTAGATCGATTCCATAATACTGATCGACGTCTCAATAACTATTTAAGAACAAGAATAATCGTTGACAACTGAAGGCAAAATTAATACTGTACTAAGAATTATGCTTATTGCAGTATGACACGATATATTGTTATAAATGATATAAAAAGGCATACATGGCAATTTTGTTACGCATAAAGTAATAAGTGTTTTTACATCTTCTACTTCTACAAGTGATAAATTCTATAAATATAAATTAATTATTAATCGTTATGTAAATGATAGGTATTCTGATTGTGCTTTTAACAATTTAATAAAAAAAATTATAAATAACACAATCACAAGATTATTTCTAGCAAATTAAATTAATTCGCTTGAAGTTCGCGTGAAGTTATTTGACCGCGACCAGTTTCGTTACAGTGATTACGCAGGCGACCATTAATTTAGCGAAGTATTCAATTGACTTCGTAAATTGTAAAAAAATGTTTGTAAAAAGGAATAAACTTGCAATTATCTTGAACTATAAATTCATCTCTCAAATCTCATTGATCAGAAATGTCTTGCAGAAATGTGATGATAAAATCATGATTGTTAAATGATAAGGTGACACTTTATCTTAATCATTATTATTAATAATTCATCATGTTAATTTTATAATTATACGTATCACAATAAAACTTTTTCCTGATTGCAGGGGTGAACTTGCAAAATTGCACGGCGGGTCCGTTCGCTAGCGGCAATAACGGCGGTGCGACGCGGCAGCGCCTAATCGAATTGTCACATGGATTAGGAGCACTAAGGCACTATAACGATCTTGCCAATCACGTACTGTCCTTAAATCAACAGGGCGCAGTCGTCACGAAACTTTTGGGTGAGTTTGCGTAGCGCACTTCTCTCGCGCTTTTCCGCGAAGTCGTTTTGCGCGAAGAGACACGCATTTACGATATTCATAATACGTACATTCGATATTATATACCGCGCGTATTTCTTATCGTTGACGATATAAAAATATGCAAATTATTGGGTGACATTTCCGACACGAGAACCTATTCCTCTAGGAAAACCACTCCGTTGACATATCACTATTATGTTCGTCAGCCAGTACAGCTATCGCGAATATTGAGCGTTGCACGCATTACGTACATATACAATTTCGATGCGAAGTCAAGGTAGAAATCATACAACGCTACTCTATGTCATGTGATATACCATCGATCCTTTGGAAATGAGAAAAAAATAGGTATCGAAGATGCATAAGGGAAGTTTCTAAAGTCTCAAAGTTAAAATTGCTAGTGCGACGGAAAGGTTCGTATTTCAATGTCGTATTTTATCAAATTTTATGGTCGCATTTTATCAAATAAAATTTTTAAGTAACTGCTATTAATGTAAATAGTCACCGCATTAGCTTTTTCCAGGTAGAAAAAAAAAACGTTTTCGATTTTCTTTTAAAAATGCAACATTTGAATTAGTAATTTCACTTAAATTGCACTTTGCAGCAATGTATTTGTCGATATAGTTTGACAATTTTTTTTCTTTGCCGTCCAATTTGAAATTTACATAATTCTTGATATTTCCTTTTCTTTGCTGAGATCCGTAGCAATCACCAGCGACCTCAAACGATGCCGCGTTAATATCTTGAGCGTTTTCGAGGCAAAGAACAGGGAACAACGCCGAGTACACATCGCGGTCGGACGTAATAAGCGTCGTGAGGGACGCATCGACCGCTTGAAGCTCGTTAGCTCGCACAGATTAACGTGTAATGGTCGCTTCTTTCACGCGTTAAACTTCAGCACTTCAGCAACAAGCTCGAGTAATTCGTCAATGATTGCGCTAATCATTAGCCGCCCTGCATTCCGGTGAGCTAATGTGGAGCTTTCAGAGACTCTCATTTTTTTTTATGACTTCCGACAAATGTTACATATACTTAAGTCTTTTCCAAACTTATGTATGATCGGTATATTATGCGTATATTTCCTACTGTTACATCGTGTTACATGATATACAGGATATTAGATCTCGAAAAAATTTTTTACACTACTTAACAATAAAAATTTGCATTTATATTACATATAATTATGTCCCGAAAATGAATGTTATTCGCTCGGCAAACCACGCCTTGCGCCTTTCCGGCGTTTGCGCTTTTCGTTGCCACTCATATCACTCTTTATAGAGCCTTCGACCGCCATATTCCGCGTGGTAATGCACACCAGAGCGCTTTCGCCGAGGCGGGCACGCGAGCGCGCGGTCTTGCACGCGAGAACGTGGTGAAACTCGCGGAAATTTAGACCCCGAACAAGATCGGAAATCGTCGGATACTCGTATGAGCGAACGGCGGCCGGGATCGCGTTCGAGGAAAGGCGAGAAAGACGAGGAAGCCGAGGAAGACGCAGAAGAAGAAGAAACGGTAGAGAGAGAGAAAAGGGAAGCAGGATCCGCGCTCGCCGAGGGGCGAGCAATAAAAAATGGAGACGAGCCACCGAGCATCGTCGTGGAACGCCGGAGTTTCTCTCTTTCTCGTAGATCCTGCCTGCTACTTCGCGGTCCTCGTTAACTTTACGAGCCGCTCGTAAAATACCGTTCAGGACCCGCTCTCTCGCGGCGCGCCGGTAATGTCTTCATCCCGCTGGATACGGGCTCCTTAGGCGTCTCGAGGTGAATATAATGTACCATAATCGGCCGGTCAATTACTTAACGACGGCGAACAATTAATCCCGGCTTTGCGGCGCGAGCAAATCGTCCGCTCAATGATCCGCGAGTTTAACGAATGGGAGAAAAGTGGCGATACGCAATATCGCACCGTCGAGAACGAATAAAATGAAGTTATCCTCCGTTTAAGCGCCTTGTGAACCAAAAATATAATTCAATTGTATCGATTTTCGCGTCTTTAAAGATCACCGCTTCGGCTTTTTAACTTCGCTTCAAAGAGGAATCACGCGATAAATAACCGAAATTCTCAGCCTGTTGTAAATAAAGTTCAACTTGTCAGTGTCGCGATATAGATTTTAGGATAACTAGACGGCAATCGAGAGGACAATGTCGAAGGTGTTTCTGTTTACTTGTAGTTTCTATCGCAACGCTCTTTATATTCGCCCGCCATGTAATTACGCTATAATCCGTCATTATGAATTCATAAAAGAGATCACCTCGCTCGTGAATACACGCATGCGACGCGCGCTGAATGCACTCTTCTCGCCCCGTAACAACGCCTGTAACCACACCACGGACTGACTGACATCCATCCGCCGCGATCGCGAGCGACCTAACCGGCTAACGAAATTGGCTTCGTGCGGTTTCTTTTATTAAAAACGGCGATCCGCTCAAAAATTTTACGTACGCACGCACACGTGCACAGAAGCAAACCGGGAGCAAACCGAGAGCGAGCAGCAATGAAAGACCGGGGTAGGAAGAGATCGACGAGAGGTAGGAAAAGATGGATAGATATAGGGAAGAAAAGACAGAAAATGAAGGGTGAAAAAAGAGAGAAAGACAGGGGCGAGGGGGAGAAAGAGAGAGAGAGAGAGAGAGCAGGTCGGGGCAAGGAATTTGCTCGCGGCATGGATACCTATTAGGTGGGTACATCGTTTATATACCCAGCACGCACTTCATCCGTGGGAGCGCACGCGATACCCTGCCGGGTTTAGCCGTCATTATTGTTATTAATAATAGTACGTAACGACCGATAATTGCTCAAGTCTGCCTGCGCCTCTGGTTTCCATTACTGCTCGCGGTCTTTCTCTCTCTCTTTCTCTCTCTCTCTTTCTCTTTCTTGACATCGTCCGCCGGATTGACGGACGATTTCTCGCCCGTTTCTCCCGCTTCTGAAGACCACGAAGACCCGGTGGCCGCGACAGAACGCGAATCACGAATGATGCATGCACATCGGCGCGGCATACGTCCTTCCACGATGAATCCGCGCGTAATTGGGGTCGGAAGGCGAGCCACGATGGGACCCTTTACGCTCGATGGTTGACGTTGATGTTAGCACGCGAACGTGACTTTCGTTTCTTCGCTTCCACTCTACTCGCCGCTCGCGAGAAGCGGGACAAAAACAACGTATCTCAAATGTGGGTATCTTTAATAAGGAAAAATAGGAATTTTATATTGCATATTTCCGACTGCAACCAGTTTAAATCGTCACAAAATCTATTAAAATTGTCACAATTGTATTGATGTCGTACAATGCATCGATGCTGCGCTGGGATCAACCGTATTGAAACAAAATTATTATATTACAATATTAAGTATATAAAAAAACTTAGAGTTAAAAAAATAGTATGAAAATTCTGTACTTTTTATAGATTTTATCAAAATAATATAATAAAATTAACATCTTATTCGACAGAAATATGTAGATAAAATGTAAGTAGAATTATTATAGTCATAAATATTCTTAATTTTTTTAAATTACCCACAGATCACGTTGAAGTGGCCATTTTATAATGGTATAATTTATAAAACGTATAACACTTAATTGATTGAAGATCTGTTCTTCTTGTACGTTTTTCTACAATTCAATCGATGATGTGCATAGCCTTGTTCGTACTTATGCTTACCAGGCTATTGTACATTTGAATGTTCACTCGCGTAGGTACTAATTAATTCATGACTAATTGAATGTTGTGTTATTCATTGTCTTCCACATGACTTTAGTAGCAAATTATAAGTTCAGTTTCTTTGAAATATAGCAGCATTAGGCTCGAAACGCGTGTTGCATTCTTGCTTGCTTATCGATTTTAATATTTTATCCATACATAATATTTTTATGCGTTTAAAAAAATCATGGAGAAAATTGCTATATAATTTTTACCGATATTAATTTTTAAGTGGCGTCAATCCAAGCGCGAAATTAAGCAAACTTCTTAAATAGACACTTACGATGCACGAGGTATAACGAAGCTAAATGCACTCGGATTATCACAAGCTAACGCGCAATGGTTACACGTGTGCGGATAATTTTCTTATATCACGATGTATGTTACGTAAGATATCTTCGTGCTGTGTCCTAATCGCTGCATCCTGAATCTGCCCAGATACAAAGATAGGATTGATATCCGTTTGCGGTAACACGCAATCTTAACCATCGTACTATAATATTGCCATGACTTTTGTAATATTATATGCTACCATTTGTATTCAAGACTTACGTTCGCTGCTACGTCACGATATTTTTTTATATCCGTTTGAAAAGATTGAGAAACTTCGACATATAAAATATATAACATCGAATAGAAACGTTTTGACCATTTGTAGTCATCCGCGCGCAATTATTTGCGTTTGCAAGTCCTTGGAATGGATTCTATTTGATAGCAAACAGCGACGTATAATATTGCAATTACCATTCTGTTCACATTAAAAGCATGCCTGTGGAGGATATTGGGATTCCGAGGCGCATGCATCGCGTGATTTTCGAGAATTACGACGAGCATCGCGATTTTTGGCGTGATCGAGCTGCCGAATAGGGTGCAAAATATAAATGCGCCATGCCGCGGCGCCATTTACGAGCGATTTTATCGGGGGACCCAGGACTTTTGCCAATGCACCGCGTCCTTGAAGCCCGTTTTATCATGTTCCAGGTACGCTGCGCCCGCCGGGTCTGATCGGTGGCAGTAAGCCGAAAGTAGCGACGCCGGCTGTCGTCGCCAAGATCGAGCAATATAAAAGGGAGAATCCGACCATCTTCGCTTGGGAAATTCGGGAGAGGCTAATCTCCGAAGGTAAGATAATAATATCGCTTTCGCCGAATCGACACGTATCGAAAGGCGCGACCAAACGTCAAATACAGATAAATTGAATGAATTTATGAACCAAGCTGCGCTTAAGAAGAAGCTTACGACGAAAATGACGATAAGCCGCAAATTAATGATTATCTCACTTTACGAAGAGTGAATATGATATCGCAATAATCGCGAAGCATAAACGTTTCAAGATAAGCCAACTGATTTGACTAACATTGACATTGCCTAAGATTTTTCGCAGTATCCTAGAACGCGCTTAGTCATAACGTCAAGTCTTCGTCAGCGCGATGCATAAACTAGCGTGTTCCTTACTTAATTATGCTCGTCCTCCGTAAGCCATGCGAGTGCAAACCGCCCGTGATTACAGACGCACGTATGAGTAACGTATAATTTAGCGAAAGAATTAAGAAACGCGTTCCTGCGACCTTACTTCTTGACACACATACTGTTCTTCGTGCCGACACGAACACACAATCGTCAGTAAATTTCAATATGCCCTTGCTATATGCAATGCTTTCACTCCAAAAATTCCACGTTATAGCGTCGGAAGTTGTGCCGCGCTTATAACATATTAACGATAATAATAGAACAGTTGCACAAATGCGAAAAACAACTTTGCAACGAGTTCCAAACAATATTGCAAAAGTAACTTTATATATAGTGAGTTCCTCGTCGCGTTCGCATTGTGTGTCAAAGTTCAATAGCTCTTCCGCGACGTCGGGCACGGCATTCGCGTTGACAGAAACGTCGACAATTGTCCGGCTTGTGTTTTAGGGGTTTGCAGTAACGCGACGGCGCCGTCGGTCAGCAGCATCAATCGGATATTGCGGAATCGCGCGGCGGAGCGCGCGGCCGCGGAATTCGCGCGGGCCGCCGGCTACGGCTTGTACGCGGCCGCCGGACCGCATCCGTACTTCAACTCGCATCAACATCCAACGACGAGTCACCATCTGCCGGCGGGCTGGCCGGCACCAGGAGCGGCCGGGCACCCGTGGATGCTGCCGCCTCTGGCCAGCGGTATCTCCGGCGCCGCCGCATCCGCTCTGCTCTTGCCACCGTCCTTGAGTCCTGGTGCAGCAGCCGCTGCGGCCGCGGCCGCGTCCGCTTCCGCCGCGGGCACCACCGAGCACGCGCTTCACGCCGCCGACGCGATCGCTCGAGGATATTTACAAGGTGACAGAGAACGCACGCTCGTTGTCACCCTTCGACGTCACGCGCGGCTCACAATGTGAAATTTGCTCGATTTAAAAAAATATTTTACTTGATTCTATAGACGTATAGAATTTATACTTTTCATCTGCTCCACAAAGACTGTTTCGTTTAAATAAACTAAATTCTAAAACTTAGAACTGAATATTTCATACAATCATTAAAACATGGATAAAAATTGAACAAATAAGTTTAACAAAAAAATCGATGCATCTGAATAAAATAAGGATCTAAAATTATTTTATCAAAGCGCATCAAATTTTTTTGATAAACAATGCGGGAATCGATTTTTCGTATTTCTTGTAAAAGAACTGAAATATATTTGAATCAATAATATATAAATGCTCTATACAAGTTTCTATCAAATTTTGCTAACTTCTCAGTTTTACGTTGATTTTGAAATCTCACAGTAATATAAGTCGGTTCGTTAATGCAAAAGAATATGTTATTGCAAACGGGTTGTATTCAGAGATACAGCCGATAAAAACGAGCTTATGTGATGTGTAGACGGCGACGGAGACGACGGAAGCTTGGACGGTTCGGAGCAGCCAAAGTTCCGACGCAATCGTACGACTTTCAGCCCGGAACAGCTCGAGGAGCTCGAAAAAGAGTTCGAGAGATCGCACTACCCTTGCGTGTCCACGCGCGAGCGCCTCGCCTCGAAAACGTCACTCTCGGAAGCGCGCGTTCAGGTGAGGATCTACCAATCACAGATAAAAGATAAAGAGCCGACGCGACGACGCAGGGTCTAATTCGACGGTCTTATCGAGGTTGGAAGAGGCCCTGCGTGGAAGTGCGGCGCCATTCCCGAATCCCCCGAATCCGACTTGATCACGAGCGTTCTAACGACCTAACTCGTGACTCTTAGGTTTGGTTTTCCAACAGACGGGCAAAGTGGCGTCGTCACCAGCGCATGAACCTCTTAAAGCGTTCGCCACCACCGCCTCCACCGCCACCGCCGCAGCCGCAGCCGCCGCAGCAGCAACCGCACTCCGCTACGTCCGCTATGGAAATCGGCCAGCGTACGTCCAGCTGCTCCATCGCCGGCATGGGCGGCGAAAGTAGCGCGTTTCGCGCGGTCACCAATTCCAGAGACGCGAATCTCGACAGATCCGAGAGGATCGACAGGCTCGAGTCGGTGTCGAAGCAACCGGAGAGGAAGCCCAGCGCCTTCCGGATGATCAGCCAGCTGGTGGGCGACGACTCGTCCGGACTCTCGAGACCGACCAGTCCCGCGTATGAACAGCGGCACGGAGCTGGTCTCGGTCCGAGGCCGGGATCGGCGCACAGGATACGCTATGATCAGGACGAGGACGAGGACGAGGAGATTGACGTTCAAGATTCCGATCAGGACGTGCCGTCGTCGCCGCCAGTCGCTTGGAGGGATCACTGGACTGATCAACAACCATTGGAACTGACCAAGCACGATCGTTGAGCGAGATGTGATATCTCAGTTTTTGGGTTTCGATCGACGTGGCGATTAAATTCGCAGTGATGTCAAAGTCGGAAAAAAATCTATCGAGTGATCGCGTTGTTTCTTTATTTATTGGAAAATAATTCTGTAAATTGCACGAATCGATAATTGCTAGTGTTCGGAGTGTAAGTGCGAAGATGAAAATGTTTTTTCACTTTATTGGTGCTCGAAAGATCCGCGGAAGATATAAATAAACCGCGAGAAAATTGCTAAATCAACTAAGGCGGGAATGTCGATCTGGAACATCGATGTTGTTCGATTGAAACGCGAGTGACAAAGTGGAAATGGACCGATAACGTGCCGCATCAGCAGCGAACGATCATCGTCGACGAGTGTCAGATGCGGCACTATGTATTTAATATTTTCTCTCTTCTCGTTATTATCGGGCTCGGCTCTTCTCTATTGGTTGTCTATAATACTTATGGAACTACTTATTACGAACGATTTCTTACAATTACGGTTAAATGTGGCGAGAGCTGTGTAATATTATAACGCAATGTCACTGTAATTATTATTGTTGATTAGATAGACGATCGATCGCGTGACAGATGCAAACGCTGTTAGTTCGCTCAAATCTACCTGAGGGGCCGCTCGTGCGAATCGAGAATGAAATATATCGCGAGCAGGGGAGAGCGGTGAGGTTGTCCGAGCTCATTCGGAACTAGTCCTAGCGAATCATTATGAGTTAGGGGTGTGCGTTATCTAGGTATTTCAAATAGAAGTAAGCGAAAACACAAATAATCCTGTACGAACTGTCCGTTTCTGTGAATATCCGTCACAACACCTCTCTTGTGTAAGAAAAAAAAAAACTTCCAAATTTTCATTCCAACTATTCTCCAACGGACAAATATTTTCGGCGAGCCGTCAAATATCCGCACAATAAAATATGTTATACTGAAATAAATTTACATAAACATCCAACGCTTTCATTCGTCGAATCAATTTCCTCCCAATCCTTTAGTCATGAAACAAGAAACGACGGAATAAATTATATCTTTCTCAACTGCTTATTTTCTCGAACATTGTTTTAACGATAAAGCTAAAAACCAGGTAAGCTGCACATTTTTTCTCGAATATTGAATTTAATCGTTGTTTGTCCTACGGTCTATACACTATTGCTGATTTACATTAAAGCTGCTGCGGACTATACATCAATTCGTAAAGTAATCAATATTGTAAGCAACCCTAGATACCTTTCGATTTATACGACAATTAATCTTGGTGAAACGTATTTCCGCATATCTACTAACGTTATTTCGCTACGGATCGCGCGCCCGAGGTCTAATATTTCCCGTACTTATCTTTTATTAAACTGCTCGCGAATATTCTCCATAATCGCGACCGTGTATCCGCTTAAATTGCCGCTTTATCAACATAGAAAGAAAGAGAAACGAGCACGTACAAGAAATTGCCAATAGCTATCTGCTACTTAACATTCCATAAACCGCAATACAAGTTTGCCGGATGTCATTTGACTGCCTGAAAATTAAAAACTGACTCTCTTATCCCTTCACTCGCTCCGCGAAATACGTAAATTATTTGCCGCGAGAATATTCGTCGACGTGAACACGTTTTCTCACTTGGAGAGATTTTCATGAAAAATTTTACTCTACTCTCGCCGTGTGAGATTCATCAATTCCACTCGGCGGCGGCGCGATCGCTGCTGGGACAAATTCATTCTCAGGCGGACGATGACACATGCGCTCCTGCGACCGCGCGTATCCGAGTTGCCGGTCCAAAGGGATGCGCGGGAAAGAGGGGAGGAAAAAGCGCGAGAGCGAAGGAAGGCTCATCGACGATTAACTCGAATCTACGGTTTCGTCGGGCTCGCAAATAAGGAATCTGCGCGCGAAACTGGTTTCGCCGGGCGACACTCTCCGCCACGGATGCAGACGGAATCGCTTGTTGCCGTTGAGAGCACGAAAACATTGGATCCGCCGACATTTCGGATATCGTGGCCCGCGTCAACGGTCAGCGCGAGCGGCGAATTTATGGCCACGCTCGGCTCCACGAGCCGGTGGGATACGCGCACGGTAGGACGGGGGAGGGCGGACATCGGGCGCGCTAACCGAGGGGAAGGACCGGCGAGGAGAAGCGAGACGAGGAGAAGAGGAAGGAGCGAGGAGTCGCGTCGCCGGGCATGTAATACGAACGGACTCGTTAATGGCGTTAACACGACGAATCGATGCACCTTTTCACGCGCATGTTTGCTCCTTTTGCGGCCGTACACGGCGACGTGGATCTATTTGCGCTTGAATGAAACGACTTTGACAACCTCGTATAAAAGGCACGAAGGACGATCGCCATGAGAAACCACGAGACATCGGGCTGCCTCTTCGTGGTATATGCTGCTTGCGGATTTTGGGGCGACCGTCACGCGTGTACGTGTAATTCGAGCCGTCCGAAGGACGGAGGAACAGGTGGAGGATCCCCAATAATGAAACCAGAAATCCCGAATAAAGGATAGCGATCGCGGCGGTGTCCTTATTGCGGGTAAGGGCCCTTACGGTTTCACCCACTAAACTACTGACACGCAACAACGATGCGTATCAAAATTTAAAATATCAAAAAAATTTTATGTAAACTTTAAACACTTTTCAACTAACAGTTTCTCTCTTACTCTTGCGAATCGTCGTTATTCTAAAACTATTCTAGCCGAATTAACCTCCGCGCGCGCGTGCGATTTCATTCACTTGCCATCGCTACGTGCGAGCCGAAGAGACCCAACACAAACAGTCGGCAGAAGAGTGGCGAACAGATATCGGCGGCATTGTAGTGCCAACAGACTCGCCGAAGGCGTTAACACCGGTGGTGGGTGAGGATCGGTCGGCGACTCCCGACGCAAAGAAAAGAGAGCGCTCGCACGTGGAAGGACAGAGGTGGGAAATGGAACGCGGAGACGCGCGAGAACGGGACGGGACGAGTCTTCAGGTGTTGGAGGAGGCTCACGTCGGACACGCTCGAACGGATGGGTCGACCACGGGAAAGCAGAACGTAACAATTACTATCTGCGTCCGATCGGTTGCGCGGCAAGATTAACGATCTTACTCTCTCGAGCGAGCACGTCGGGACTCGTCTCGTACAGCCGCGATTGCTCACGAGAGCGGGTTGCGAGGGGGAGGGAGGAGGACCGACGTTAAAGTCACCTCCTCCTTTGCTCAATGAGATATTGCCTGGCCGAGAGTAGCGCACCTTTTCGCGCGCGCGGTAAATCGCGTGCTCGCTCCAAATCGCCGTCCCGTTCGTTACCCGCTCGCCAAGGCGTAACCGTGCGCAGTCCGCGCGCTTAAAAGCTGATATATTCGGATGTTAACGAGAATTAGGACGCGAAAGGATTACGCGACAGGCGCAGCCGTTCTCGTAAACTGCATTAAGCTGCAAACTTCCATCGGTGTTCGCATCCGTGAGAAAATATTCGAACGCCCGATAAAAAGTAAACAAATGCAAATGCTTCCTCCTTAATCGGCAAGATCACGCACTGACTGAACGCAATGAAGCAAAATATTTATGCGCGCCAACAACTGCTCTGCAAGAATTCTGTTTAAGATAATTTTGTTTTTTTTTTCTTTTAAGATGGGATTAAAGTAGTTCGGCACGCGGATTTTTAGCACATAGCAAACAAGATACTTTGTTAAATCGCTTATGTAAATTATATAAAATATTCTTTTAGATATGTAAAAGTCGTTAAACGAGCAATTGATGGCGAACAATAAGCGCGTATAATCGAGTCAGCCGATCGATTTTTTTACGATCCCTGCATCCTAATATGATAATTCTTTTCAATTTCTTCCTCTTCTTTCTTAACTTATTATAGCTTCATAATTCCTCACAAAGTGTGAAAATATTTAAATATACAAAGACAGCTCGGCATAACCACCCATCAATGTAAGATACTTCGCAAGTGTCGAGTTCTCTTAGAATGATGTTCGCTCGTTGCCAAGGATCCAGGAGGAAGAAGGAGAAGGTGTTTGACAGAAGGACGAAAAGATTCGGTCCGGCAATAATACGCGAGAAATCGTGAATTAGTGAGAGTCTTTTTGAGCGTGCGGACGGAGAAAAGGAGTGCCCGATGATTTCTCGCCCAATTAGAGTCGACTGGGCTATAAACTTCCCCGCGGATAAGATAGGACCCCGGTTTTCTGTGTTCCCGTGTCTCGAGAGAGGCGAGAGAGAGGGGCCCGTAATGTCCCGCTTCAGCCCGGAAGCCTTCCAGGTCGCATATAGACCGGGAGTTTGGCTCGGGAGGAGAGATCGAAGGAGCGAGAAAGAGAGAAAGGAGGAGAGAAGCGAGAGATCAAGGACTTAGGTCGGCGATGGAGCGATGAAGAGAGAAAACAAACGAGGTGAACACAGGAAGAAATAATATCAGAAGGACGTGTAAAAAGAGGAATAGCGGAGAAGAAAGAGCGAGGAAAGTGGAGGGAAGTGGAGAAAGGGAGGGCGAGAGAGCAGAGTACCTGAGCATTGGAACGGAGCTAATTGGCTCGTCCACTGCCCATTGAAACCGCCGTCCTGGTATCGCCTTCGATCCACGGAGCACATATACGTGCCAACGTTTCAGGACGATCAATTAAATGGAAATGGTCGGGAGATATCCCACCAGAAACAGACGTTCTCGCACGTTTCACGCTCCGCCGGGTTAACCCACGACGACCGCGTCCGCGCTGGCGCGCGGCACCGTCCGAAAACGACTCCCGGGTTTTCGGTACGAAAGAGAAGGAAATAGAGCGAATGATTGGGCAGCGAGCTCGCGGTCGCGTGCATCACGCTTATGACTCGACAGGCCGCAAGCATAGAATGCGACCGAGAGGAATTCACGGCTGAGTACGCCGGATGACGCTTCCGCCTCTGTACCTTATAATGATTCCGTGAGATAAGGAAAATAAACGCGCGTGAATACACGGCAAATTATAAATATATCACATTAAATACAGGTTCTCGGAAAGAGGAAGAAAGGAAAGAGTTTAACCCGTCAGACGGTTCTTCATTCTAAATAAAAAGTATAAAACATATTTCTTTATTGACTGAGCAATTTTCGGAGTATGCATATAGAAAATTTGAAATATATCTATTAACGTATTGATATTATAGTACGCAATCTTGTAAAAGCATAACTTTGTCTCTCGCATGCGTAAATCGCTGTTGATAATTTCGTGACGGAAGAGCAAGTGAAATAATAAACGGGTAATCAGCCGAACGTAGCAACTTCTTGTCGTGCGCACTTTGGAATAATTTTCTAGAAAATAAATTTTAATACACTTCATTCACTAACAGCAGGTGCACTGCACGCACCACTTCGATCCTCGTATCTAAATTATTAATAACGATCTTCCGCGGAAAACATGCTTGTAAAACGGCACTTTAAATCATTGTCGGAAATCTAATTCGTAAAGTATCGTAAAGTATCTTCGAAATGAGAATAATATATGCATGAGACTATCTCTAATAATGTGAAAATTTCTGCAAAACAGATATACTCCGACGCGAATTTTACACGTGCAACAAAAGTGCCTCTAAAATTCTCTATTGTCATAATATATTATCATAGTTTATCTATCATTATTTCCTTATCCAGAGAATAGTAGGTATACTGTTATCGTGAGAGTATCGCGCGAAGATCCGCGAGTATACTCGATCTCCGTTTGATGCGTGTGCATGAAATCATAAAATCTCATACTTCGAGATCTCGCAGGGTCGAAACTATCGATTTTATTCGGACTTTACTCGGATCGCACACTTCGGAGCGGACCGAAACGAACCGACTTGGAAGCCGCTGAAAACGTCGCAAGCTCTTCGCTATCGTTTACCGCATAAATTTCGCCGATATTACCGTCAGATATCGCGCTATTTCGCGCAATCGGTGTCGCATCTGCGAAGGAG